ACGACTGCTGTGGAGACAGCAAACAGCAGTGGAATTCCTAGAGATGAGATGCTTTACAAGGCTACACAGTATCACAAATAATTTACAGTAAAAAAATCAACGAGTGGTGAAATTGCTCTGCTGAGAAATTAAAGCACCATTATTAGTGCCAGGATCTCCATCAAGCTATGCCATATAGTAAAAATGGAAAAATAAGGCAGAATCACTCAGAACTGTGACTACTTTATTTGCAATACAAATACTTGTATAGCACTGAGGTGGTCTATGCCTGCAGGCAGGGGAACCCCTGCTAATCCTAAACTAAACTCAGCGAGAGTTACCAGCGCAGTGAGAACGGGAGGCATCTCAGCACCCTGCCTCTCCTGCTGACCGGGTTCAGGAACAGAAGAGCATCTCTTTTCAGAAGACAGGTGTTAGAGGAATGATCCATCAGTTTTCCTCTAAGCCAATATATCCTGATTCCCATGCAGTTTTCATTTTTGCAATAACATGGCTTACCAATTCTCTCTGCTATCATCAAATATCTACCCTACAGTGAAAACAAAACATGCCCTGGAAAGGGGTAGCTCAAAGGAACCTCAAGGTGGTATCTTGTCCCTTCCACTGCCCAGAGACAAGACAAAGCATCCTTATATCCTCCGTCAGATTGCAAGAGGAGGGAAGGACTAGAAGGAGGAGTGCAGAAGCCACAGTTAGATTGCATACACAGACGCTCGTATGGCAGCAGTCCAATTCAGAAGTCAGGGATGATGCTTCTGGGGAAAACTTCAGTAACTGTAAGGTTACTGTAAGGAGAGATAGAAGACAGGAAAACACTCATGGAGATATTTTAAGGTGCACTAACTGACCAGGTAAGTGCACAAAGAAAAAGAATGTATTTATTTTTCCACTTGTTGAAGGTCAAAAATGATTATTAGGCATCTACTAAAACCACAGCTTTGCTGTTATGAGTTGAAGGTAAGAGCACTTTTTACCCCTACTCACACTGTAGTCAAAAATAAATAGGAACTATTCATAGATTTAAATCATTGTCATTTTACAGTTCCTACACACCATTTACTGAGCTAAAGCTTCCCTCTCTTTTTGCTACAGAGAAAGCCCTAACAACCTGAACCTAGACAACACAGAGCCTAAAATTAATTTTAAAAGACCCTAAATACTGGCTTTTTTAAAGAACTTCACAGGATGAAGTCATAACCCTATTTAAGTCAAGGAGACCTCACTCATGAGACTTGAGCCTTGATATAGTTGAAAAGGCTGCTATTTAATATCTAATATCTGAAATCAACTCTACTTGTAACTAGCTCTCTACCTAAGCATCAAAGGCAGTATTTGCAGATCTGGAGGGCCTGAGTTTATAAGTATACTGTGCGGGAATCCTAAACGCTGAAGTTCTTTGTGTTTAGCACTTCTTTCTCTGAAGAGAAGAGGCTAGCTGTGACACAAAACAGAAGGTTGTCTTGAAACAGCAAGAGTTCACAACTTCGGCCAAAGCAATACCAGCCACAGAATGGAGAGCAAAAGATTTCACGTTATTTATTGCAACTTGAAATGTTATAATTAAAATGACTACCGTATAATTTTAAAGTAAAATTCAGTAATGGCAGCAGTGATGCAAACATTTTTGAGGAAGACATATGGAACTACTACCTTAAAATTCAAGTTTTACTGCAAGAGTTTTTTTTTTGGAACTTCACTTAAAATGAAAAGTAAAATTCCTGTTTTATGGCCTTCAGGTGAATGATACTACCTTTATTAGTTAACAACATATTTATTACACAGCAGAAGAAACAATGCTTTGATAGTGGAGGTCAAATGGGCCTGCTGGGATTTTATATAACCTTTTTATATTAAGGGAGTATGGTGTCATAGGAGCAGGCTTTGAAATAACACAAGCGCATCTAATTTACGACAGCCATCAATAGCTGTTCATAGACTGACAGACAGCTCAAGCAAGTAATATCATTCACACAGCTAATCTATCATTGTGGAAATTAAAGTACTAAACATCCAGCCACTGCTGAGATGGAATCACAGGTACTGCAGGAGAAAAGACTCATGCAGGGTGGGATGGGTGTCACAGTAAAAATCAAAATATCGCAGGTGAAGTGTATAAACACTCACTCCATTTGTGTCTCACTACTTCACCACTTTCAAGAAAAGATTCCTACTGAAGCTAGATTTTGTGCATCCATTCCTAAGTTGGAAGCCTTGTACGTTGATACGCAAACGGAGGGATAGGTAGCTGATTTTCTTGGCCAAGAAAAGGGAGGTGCCAGTGGGAGGTCTTTTCACCCACACGACCACACCAAGTTTTATGTCCATTGCTAGCGTGGTATCTAGCAGAGAAAAAAGTTATGCAGCCATTCTGTGTCTACAGATCCCAGTTTTATCTGTGGTACTTTTTAAGCCATTGGCTGATTTCAACCAAATTCAACAGACTACTAGCAGGCAATCACGTTCCTACCTAATCTGTAAAAGCAAGCAAGCCAGGAGAGGCAAAACTGCAATTTGAAATTTTACAGGCCTGCCCCCAAAACTTTAAAAACTTGTCATCCAATTTCAGTAATTGAAGATAGCCACCCATTTGTTACATCATCATTGCAGTCTGCAGAAAGAGGGGATGAAATGGAAAAACATAGAAGGTTATATGAAGATAATTGGGAAAAAAAAAAAATCTTGTCCTACTTCAGCTAAAAAGTCAATCAACCTCATAACACAACTTCACAGAAAGCTTCATTAACTCTGCTGTTCAGAAAACGACTTGCTTGTTAAAGCAGAGAAAGCATCACTCTTTTAGTCTTTAGGAGAAGGATGAGGTGGTAAAGGGAATCCAGAGGATGCCTGGAGCTGCAGGAAGGACAACGTACAAGAGAGAAAAGGTAACAAAGCTAAAGAAGCATGCACACCCACATACACTCAGCAAAAGTAAACCTGTACAGCCCCACCTTAGACAGCTTTTTTTGTTTTTAAACTCCATCCATACTTTCCCATGACGCTTCCTGTAACATGCAACAAAGTGAAATGTGACCCAGCACAGATTTTTGGAGGAAAATACATTAGGACAGGAGTCAATCACTACAGCACCCCTCCAACAAGGTTTAGTAGCTGAAAACTGGCAACAGGCTGAACATATTCATGTTATCTCCATCCGGGTTGAGTGAATTCACATCCACTCACATACGAGTCACATTATCCCGAAAAATACTTAGCAGTCATACTCTAACACTGTTCAGAAAGAGATTAGATACTTAAATGGAAAATAATAATATCCGCATTCAAATTCGATTACAAGTTGTACAGAAAAGCACTTTGGGACATAAATCAACTGCTAACTGCCTGACAGTAGGAAGGATTTCTCCCCATGGACACACCATCCATTAGAGTGGTTCTGTACTTCTGCTGCAGCATTGAAATTGGAGACGGCTGGATACACAACACTGGATTGCACCTCCACCTCTAATCTCTAGTAAGGATATACATTTATTAACATCACCAAAAACTAGCAAAACACAAGGCATCATCACATCTGTTCTTGAAGGAAAGACCTATACCACACATGACAAACATGAAGAAGCCAGCAACAAGCCAAGCACATCCACCACCACAGAAGGTGCAGCTGGAAAGGGTCTGTCTGAAGGGCTTCACCTGAAACAGGCGGAGGGGGCAGGCAGGCCAACTATTTTTAAACCATTCCTGACCCATATTTTGCTAACAGCTTCTCAGGAACCTGTCGGCAGCAACGCCCCCAATCCTCTACGCTGTTGAAACGAACAGCCACCTCTTCCTGATCGGACCACAGCGAGATCTCAGCTGTGCCCAGAGCAAAACTAAGCTACAACATCTCCAGGAGGCCACCAACACTTCTTCGCTCTGGGTAGCTCGTTAAAAGAGCACAGGTGATCAACGAAGAGGCAACTGATTCATATCCGCATATGTTTTCTAGGTAACCTGAAGCATTCAGAAACATTATGAACCGCACTTCTACCCAGCGGTCCCTGTGGAAAAAAGGGGAGAAAGACCAGACTGTGCAGATGTCCCCTGAGCACACCCTCCTCCATAGGCCACTCCTGACCGTAATTCCCATTGGCTTTAATGGGATAAAATCAGGACTACGCTACATTTTCCTTCACGTTGCTCTCAAGGGAAACACATCAGCCCACAAACCTTGCACACATATCCTCTCACCTTGCCTGCACCGCTCAGAGGTGCGATTTGATGTGTAACATGCTGAGCAGCTCAGCCCCCATTATCTAAGCTGACACACTAAACATGGGCACTATCACCTATTAACTTTGTACTAGGTTGGGTATTTAAAGACGCAGATTTGGCATAAGGTGATACCCAACTGTGAAACATCAACTGCAACAGTCAACCTTGCAAAATGAGGTGGGCGAGTAATTGAACAGAGCAAGTGTTTATCAGAGCCATGTGGCTCAGCATCAGGCTCCTACTAGGAAGGATTAAAAAGGCGAAGGTGGATACACAGCCTACCCTGAAGGGTTTTAAAGCCAGTATATCCTACATCAACTCCACTACATTGTTATAGCGCCTCAAACAAGCTACATGAGAGTTTCTTACAAACACACAGAAAGACAGGGAGGAAGGGAGGGTGAACAGCTTCTGCTGCATTTTGCTCCCTCAACTATCTGACTAGCTCGCGGGTTATGCGTTTAAATGACGAGGGCCCAAAGGGGGTCAGGGCGAACGCGGGGACAGCACACTGCGACCATACTGCACCCACAACGCACACAGCGCCCACAACTGCACCAATACAGAATAAATAAAACAGTCACACACCTAAACATTTCCTTTTGTTTAGGGGCTGCGTTACCAGCACTAAGGCGATCCGACAGAGCGTCTCACACCCCGGCCATCAGCGCCGGGCTCCCCAGGCCCACGCGTGCTCGGGCGCTGACGAACGCACGACCATACTGCACCCACAACGCACACAGCGCCCACAACTGCACCAATACAGAATAAATAAAACAGTCACACACCTAAACATTTCCTTTTGTTTAGGGGCTGCGTTACCAGCACTAAGGCGATCCGACAGAGCGTCTCACACCCCGGCCATCAGCGCCGGGCTCCCCAGGCCCACGCGTGCTCGGGCGCTGACGAACGCACCCCAACAGCGAGCGGGCTCCGCGGCAACTCGACGACAACAGCGTCCCCGCGTTCCTAGGATACCTCCGGCAAAACACCGAGGCCGGCCGCAGGTAAGGGCACGCTTGGGCGAGCCTCACCGAAATTCTCTGAGCCTTCAAAAAGAAGAAGGAAAAACAAACAAACAAACAAACAAATCAACCTGCCAATTAAATACCTGAA